TTGGCTGCTCTTGGCAGGGGAAGGGCAGAGGCAGAGACTGGCTGATGGGGAAGGGCCTTGGCTGCTCTTGGCAGGGGAAGGGCAGAGGCAGAGACATCAGGGCAGGAAAAGCTCTGGGACTGTTCTGGAAACTGCGGATGGTGATGGGAAGAAGGGGTTAGTGGGAGCAGCCCCCCCCAACAGTGCCTGGTGCACCTGCCTTCCAGGCGCCACGATGAGGTGACCCACATCAAGATCCAAAACACGGGCGACTACTATGATCTCTACGGAGGGGAGAAGTTCGCGACGCTAGCCGAGCTGGTACAGCACTATGCAGGCCAGCATGGGGGGCTGCTCCGTGAGCGCAGCGGGGCCCCCGTTGAGCTCCGGCACCCGCTGGGCTGCCAGGACCCCGTATCTGAGCGGTGAGCTGCAGACACCGGCATGTTTGTGACCTCGTGCATGCCAGGGTCCGGGGGAGCAGGGTCTGTTGGGCATGGCCTCTGGGTTCCCTTTGCCCTCCGTGGCTCAGGGTCAGGCTTGGGCACAGCTGCAGCAAAGTCGAGGGAGTGTCCTGCGTGCCCCCCTACCCGGGGCTTGGGGCCTCATTTCCTCTGGGTCTGGGGCACTGGCCACAAGGGTGAGTGTGCAGCAGGAGCCCTGCAGCCAGTCTTACACCTACCCTCCTGCCTGGTGACTCCGGTGAGCAGTTTTCTCCAGCCTCAGTTTCCCTGCCTGCACTGCTGAGACCTGAAGAAGCTGCATCTGCCAGGGAGGGGTTGTGGGGCTGGTCTGAGAAGGCGGCCCTGTCCCTCCTCGCTGGGGACCAGACTGCCACCTGGTGGCCACCCTCGGCCCTGCAGGGCCCGCCTGTCTTGCTTCCAGCCTGCCTGCTCCTGGGCAGGGGGAGAGTCAGAGAGTCGGGCAGGGCAGACTGAGGCTGGCCTGGGTGAGGGCACTGCCCGGGCCCTTGAGATCTGGGTGGATCCGTCTGTCTCTCTCTGTCTGTGTCTTGTCTTGGAGCCTTCTGGCTGCATGTGGGTCTGTGTCCCCTCACCCGGCAAGGCCATGGCCCCCGGGCTCACCTGGGCTCCCCCACCCCACCCCCACCACGCTGGGCCAGGTGGTACCATGGACACCTGTCTGGCAAGGAGGCCGAGCAGCTGCTGATGGAACAAGGACGTCCGGGTACCTTCCTGGTGCGGGAGAGTCAGAGCAAACCGGGGGACTTGGTGGTGTCTGTGCTCACACAGCAGCCAGACAAGGCTGACCGCCGGCCACGGGTCACACACGTCATGATCCACTTCCAGGTGGGAGGTGGCAGCAGGGGTAGGGGTGTGACTCAGGGGAGGCAGGCAGTGGCCAGGCGCCTCATTGTCGCCCCCACAGCCAGATGGAAAGTATGACGTGGGAGGTGGGGAGCAGTTCGACACCCTCACAGACCTGGTGGAGCACTACAAGAAGAACCCCATGGTGGAGAAGTCAGGGACTGTGGTGCATCTCAAGCAGGTATGCCCGGAGGCACGTGACCCTTGGGATCCTGAGTGAGCTTCACCCCTGGGGTGGGGACGGCCCAAGGGACATGGGGACCCAGGGAAAAGGGGGCTAGGCAGGCTGGGGCGGGGTGGCCTAGGGAAACCGTGTGGGGTCAGGGCAGCTGCCCCTGGGGGAAGGCGCCGCGGGGTCTGCTGGACCCTGTTAAGTGTGGACACAGACCTCTCCCGGCCAGCCCCTCAAGGCCACGAGGATCAATGCCGCAAGCATCGAGAGCCGAGTACAAGAGCTCAGCGGGGCCACTGAAGCCAGCGAGAAGGCCAAGCAAGGCTTCTGGGAAGAATTCGAGGTGCCCGCCCCCCTCGCCACTGTTCACTCTCCCACAGACTCCCGTCCTTGGGGGCTTGGGCGAGGCCCAGCAGAGGGGTGAGGTTTAGGGGAGGTAGGATGGTCACTGAAGGCTCTGGAAAAGTGTGGGACAACAGGCTGAAGCTCCCCACCCCCAACCAGATGCTGCAGCAGCAGGAATGTCGGCTCCTGTATCCACGGAAGGAGGGGCAGCGGTTGGAGAACAAGCCCAAGAATCGCTACAAGAACATCCTTCCCTGTGAGGGCCAGGCGGGGGGGCCGTGTTGGGGGCCAGGGCTCCATCCGCTACATGTGGGGCCCATCTGGCAAGGAGGGGCCTGTGGGGGTTGAGGCAGGGCGTGGTGTCCCACCACCGGGTGACTTTCCCTTTTGTGCATTCACGGCCCCTTCCTGCCTCATCTTGCTCACCATGGGGGCCGCGGGCAAGGAGGCGGGTGAGGTCCGTTTCTCCTCCCTCTCCCCTGGAGACCTGAGCAGCATCCTTCCTTCCCAGTTGATACCACTCGTGTCACTCTGCATGATGTGGACGACAGTGTCCCTGGCGCCAACTACATCAACGCCAACTATATCAGGGTGGGTGTGCAAGGGACAGGCATGTGTGGCCAGCTGCTTGTGTAGCCTAGCATGGATCAGACAGGACACCTCGAGCCTGGCCACACACCAGTCCCCCTATCCCCCTGTTAGAGCCTGGAGCTCCTGCTGGCAGGCCCAGGAAGGTCCAGGTGCCCCCGTGATCCATGGGCCCTGGCAGGACAGTAGACATTGTTGGGGGAGAGGGGCTGTGGTGGTTTCCAAGGAGTCCTCAGAGTGGGCTGCACTAAATATTGGTCCTAAGCTCCTCCCTAGCCTAGGGCAGGAGGGGCTGTGTGTGAGCCACCTGGTGCTGCTTTGCACATCATTTGTTTGTGAGCCACCTGGTGCTACGTTGTACGTCATCTGCATAGACTTGCACTGTCCTCTGGCATTTTAAATCCTGGGAACAATGGACCCCCGGCCCCCACCCCCTTACAGAGTGATCCAGAGGAGAAGCCAGGTCATGGACTGGGCAAGGCGTACATCGCCACCCAGGGCTGTCTGCAAACCACAGTAGCTGCCTTCTGGGCGATGGTCCTCCAGGAGAACACACGGGTCATTGTCATGGCCACGAGAGAGGTGGAGCGAGGCCGGGTAGGAGCTTGGGCTCAACAGCCCCCTCCCCATGTGCGCATGTGGATTTGTGCTGGTGGCTGGCCCAGCCTTGCTTTTTCTTCAGCCTTCGGGATGCTAGGGGGGGAAGTGTGTGTGTGTGTGTGTGTGTGTGTGTGTGTGTGTGGTGTGTGTGTGGGGGGGGACTCTGGAAAGCCCCTGTGTATGCATGTGCATGTGGGAGTCCCCACGGGGCACAGAGGCAAGTGTGCCAGTGGTCTTCCGGCACAGCTGATGCAATGCACCCTCCCTCCCAGAACAAATGTTTCCGGTACTGGCCAGAGCTGCATGGCAGCCAAGAATATGGCCGTGTACATATCTGCAACTTGGCTGAGTACCAGGCCCAGGGCTACTGTGTGCGGGAACTGCAGGTGTGGCGGCCAGATCAGGTGAGCCCAGAGGGCCACAAGACATGCAGGGCCAGAGTCACAGTAGTCAGGAAGTCCCCAGGTCTGTGCTGGGGGTGAGGAAGTCCTGTGCTGCCCCCCACCTCGTGGCTCCACCGAATCCCATTGGCCTCAGTGGTATTCACGTCCCTTAACCCAGTGGGCACAGTCCCGGCCTGGGCTCTGCTGGGCAGTGCTCACAGGCAGGTCACATTCTCAACCCCAGGCCCCAGGTCCCAGTTGCCTGGCTCCAGGGTGGCCTCACACCCACATGGCCTCTTCTTCCCTAGTCTCTCCCTGGGCCACCTCAGCAGATTCAAGGTCCTTCGTAGGCCAGTGGCACATATTTCTGTGGCAGGAACAGATTCCTTCCCGTGCCCCCCACCCCCACCCTGTCTCTTATGTCTCACCACCTGGGGGGCCCTGTAGGGCCCTCACACTTGAATCTTCCCAAATAGAGGTCATAGTCCCTGAAACCTGCTCCCTCGCCCCATTGCTCCCTCTTCCTTTCCCCAGGGGTCTGAGCCACCGGGGGCTATCTGAGAGCCCCCAAGCTCTGAATCCCGTATTTCCCTCCCATCCCCTTCTCGGCCTTGACCCTGCTGGTCACAACTTCTGGCAAACTCTGCCTGCCTCCTCCCGGTTCATGCCCCGTGCCCCTCTTACCCTGGGGCTCACAGCAGCTCCACTGTGACCCTGCGGCCTGGTCCCACCTGGGAACTGCCCAGACTGGCCCTGCTCACGCTCACCAGCCCGCCCTGCCCAGGAGGAGCCACCGCGCACAGTGAAGCACTACCAGTACTTCAGCTGGCCGGACCACGGGGTCCCGGCCGAGCCCTCCGGCGTCCTCGGCTTCCTGGACGAGGTGAACAGGGCCCAGAGCAGCACGCCGGGGGCCGGACCCATGGTGGTGCACTGCAGGTGCGATCGGGGACGGGGTGGGCGGGCAGTGCAGGTGCAACCCCGGGCAGGGCCACGGCCTCCTCGCCTAACCTCGCCACAGGCCTCCTGGTCGGTCCCCACAGCGCCGGCATCGGACGCACAGGCACGATCATCGTGATTGACATCCTGGTGGACCTCA